GATACACACTAAAAAGAAAGGTCCATAGGTTAGTCATCAGTCCGCTAATTTGTCTGACTGAGGTTTGCATGGTAGCCGCGTAAAAACAATCAAGCACACCTTCGTTTATTACACATTTAGTGACTAAAATGGACAAGCATGACTAAACTTCACGTGTGAATCTGCTGGTATGGAGTACGGTTCATCTCAGCGCAGGTCAGCGATAGAGAGATTGAATAAAGGGCTTGAGAATGCCATATGTATTTAACTCAAGCCCCTAGATTTTCGAGAAAACCGGTCAGAATTCATTGGTCCCTTTGTACTGTATTTCGACGAGGTATGGTATACCAGGGTGTCCAGCATGTCCACATCATCTGTTCCACTTCAGGGCTCCTGACGACCACTTCCTAAACCGCCAACAAACAAACGGCAAAGAAAGACTACGTGGATGATCAATGCTTATCACCCCAATCCATTTTAACAGTTTGAAACGATGTACTGATGTTAAGCACTTGATTAATCAGCTGCTATTTTTATTAACCTGCGTCAGCGGTCAGGCCAAAGAACAACATGAGGCTGAGTGAGGGAATCTGGCCCATTTGTAAGTACGTTCCGGGAGACAGCGAGATTCCGGAACTAAAGAACTGAGATAGTACGACCTTAGTATTCTAGTATACACCCCCAGTTAGCTAGGTAAGTAGACCGGGAAGTGAACATATAAATAAGTAAGTAGATAAATATATAGCCAAGTGAGAAAGCAAGCATGGGAGTAAATTGGTGGATTCATAGCCTAAAGTGTGGTCGTCTACCTGTCGCATCAATGGCCACAATGCCAACAGGTTTTTTTCTGCAAGTAAAGAATTCCAATCAGAATGAACCTCATATAGAAGCTGCACAACGCAAATTCTTCGACAGTAAACACACTACTCACAAGTCAACCCATCAAGCCAGAACCAGTGTCTTCATAACAGCTCCTCAGCAGCGACGATCGGATGGGTGGTTCTCCCAAAAATAGCCACCTATTAATAGGTTAAAAACCATGGTTTCCCTTATTGATGCACCTATGGTGGATTGTTAAAACTGAATGAATGAATTAAGCCTTTCGGTTCAAGTTATACCGGTAAACGTCCATTTACAAATGCAGAACGTTTCATACAAATTCGGAAATACTGGTCTGTAAGGGAGGAGAAATGTGGTTGGAAAGCTTTACCATCCGTGTTTGTTGATGTTCTTGAAACTATAGGAGTAGATAACTGCACTGGGTGCCCAAAGCAGCCCTTTGTTGTATCGCTTTACTCATCTGTTTCTGCAAAGTGCCTTCAATTTAAATGAACATCTAGAGAGAATAGTACGAAAACCTATAGAAATTATGATACAACAGCCTTATTATTTTTGGATGTATGCGTTATATGTGAATATGAACTGGTACTCACGTGCCGTACCACAGTTTAGTAGTAAATTTCGCGTTGCCGTATTCACTATATCTCTGAATTCACAGGCAAACAAGAAACCGACGAATAGAAGACAAGCAAAATCACGTGTTGAATAGTTAGCTGTAACCACTAGTCATCGGGTTTCGGTCAACCAGGAGGCGTCACAAACCGTGAAAATGCGTAGGTGCTGTGTCGTAGGAAAGCCCAACCCAAACGGTATATGGACTCAGCAGAAAATAATGTCAGGAGTGTCCGTTTTCTGGCCACTCACGTTCAATGTCTGCCTAGCAGATTGCAAAAAGACGATACCAAATATTTTCCCCAGTTGAAAGTATATATATTTAAGTGTTTAATTAATGACTTGTTAACTAAGTCTTCCTGATCAGAATAAACGATAGTTTTTCCTTACAAGGTTTATTTTGTTACTAAAATGCTTCAAGAGAACCATTTGATTCATCACTGAGTGTTTTCGTAATACTTGTAGGGACTTAATTATGGTAACTTAAAAGACCTGAGTTCGTCACCATTACATGGGTTTATTATGTAGAGTTATGTATTTTTGCTGGTGTGGAATGATGTTATAAAACAGTATGGAAGAAAATAGCCCACGTGATATTCCGATTGAAAGTGAATTCCCATAGAACCACTCACTGGAAAAAGTGAGCAATGTTACCACATTCCAAAATATTTAAAAGGACCGATTTAATTTTCATTAAGCAGGAGGCTGCGTGGGAAAGATGGGACACTCAAGTTTATGTAACTGTTTGATTCTGTTTTGAAATCTTTAATGGACAGGAAATGAGGTTGCTAACCGAATTCGGAGCTTTTCACGAGTTCGGATAACAAAAATAGAGTGAAACATTGGTATTGCTGCCTGCTTTTAGTGAGTAGCCACGGGATACTATTCATCCAATTGTAGGGGCTGTTGGGCTTCTACTAGTTTTGAATACAAATTAACAAATAGGCCTCACTTTAACCTGCGGTACCCGTTCCGGTGTGACTGTCCAAGTTAGTGTCGGCTGATGCTGACTGATGTATGTCTGTTAACTGGGTCTCTATGAGACGGAGTATCAGACGAAAGCGCAAGGTTTTCATACTTGACGGGTCCAGTCGTAACAATCGCGTGAATTTAAACCTTCGTCAGATTCCACCGTTTAACCCCATCTAAGTGTGTACCGAATATACTATGAATCGTTCACATACAGCATTAGAATCACATTTCTTTGGGTCACAAGTGAGGCTGTTCAAAAAGAACTTTTTTTACTGAATACTCCTTGTTCACTTCGAGCCTGATTGACGTACCGTAATGAGCGGATTGTGCGGAGCATTCGGAAACTAATCACACCTCCAAACCTATAATATATATATATATATATATATATATATATATAATATGATCTTAAGAAAACACTACTAATGGTACCAGTGAATATTCTTCGACAGTCAATGGGCGATTTTGAGCTTCCTGTGGTTGTATATAGGCGCAGCCCCGAGACAAAACAAAGTCAAAATGGATTCTAAACGACCTCCACCCGAGCTCGCACTAATGGTGCTAGTGAAGAATGGTGGTGATTCACATCTCGAAACTGGTAAACCAAGGAATTATTCGCTTGGTGATTACTACTAGTAGGTAACACGCTACATTGATCCTCTACGACGTAAATAAACCAAGATACAAACCATGGACCATCCACAAGCGAAAAATAGAACATCAATCTTGACAGGAAATTTAAGCGGACATCTCAACTACAGACCAGACCTGCGAGGCGTCAGCTTGACTGGATACAGAACAAAATTCACCGCCGCGGTGATACTCACTGAAATCAGGGAAAGTGGACCCTTACGGTTTAAAGTATATTCAACCAATGAATCAGGAATTGCATTGAGCGAGGACATTGCCCGTACTGAGGGTTTTGAAAACCTACCATATACGACCTAGAGATCACGTACAAAACAGTTAAAAACCGTCATTTCCTGAAAACCACCTAGCTATCACGTAAGATGAGAATTGCTATGACTGGTGCATCATCATACCTTGAAATTAACGGATCCCGTTCCCAGAGTAGGGATTGAAAACAAAGTGGTAAGAATAAAATTCCATTACTGGTACATAGGAATGGAATAAAACTAAATTGCGGTGGTGGTAGTAAATGTGTGGATAGCAGAAATGAACGGCTGCGACAAAAGTGAACTGTGGTGAAAAAATCGATCGATTCTCACAATTGTCAGTCGTCTCACGCCAGAGGCGCTTGTGGCTAGACATCACATGCCAGCCGAAGAATGTATGTTCCGTTGATGGTCACAGAGGTACACAACTTTGTGTCTGAAGGTAACACAACAGATGATCACAAGAAAAGTCCAAGTTAGTGTCGGCTAATGCTGAACACCCTTGTGCGAGACAGACTGTGTTGGACGTAAATGCGAGCATCACAGCACGAGCTTGATACTTGGGAGACAGAGGGTATAAGGGAAGAGAGCATGGGCGATATGGTAGCGAAAAAGGTCCCGTAGAATTAACAGTGCAAATAACTTTTTACAGTAAAAAAACATGCGCGTAGTGGTTGACCGGTGAATTCCAGCAATTATTTGGCAGTCGATCTGGGAATACAATAATTAAACGGATCCGAACAACAGAGGGGAGTGTCGGTCGTTGAAAGCGGTAATTGTGATCAACACAGAAACCGTGACTGGAAAAGAACGGTGAAAATGAGTGCTGCCAGCACCCCGAGTTCGACATCAGTGGCGAACATGGAGACGGTTAGTCGAGTTGTTCTGTATGTCACACAAGTCAGCGTAGAATGGTGATTCAAAGCAATTCCTATGTGGCAGTAAACCGTGGAAATGTGAGTCTCTGTCGAGCAGAAACAGGTCAATTGGAATGCTTGTTTTCCAGTAGGAGTGGATTAAGCTTGTGCTCCGGGAGACGGGTGGATGGACATGAAAGGCATGCGAAAAGACGTAACACGACAGAAAGCAAACAGAAATGCGATGAACTGGTGCGTAGGAATTAGCTCAGTTGATTGAGACAGTCGGTAAATCCTCTTCCCAGTGACAGTAATGCGTGGCAACACATGATATCGAACAGCCAGATGGAAGGTTCAAAGCCAGAACAGCAAAAAACGAATAAAAATGACTAGAGTGGATAGTGGTGTGAAAAAAGGTATACTGCTCGTCACGCTCCTCGGATCGTCAGGCTGATGAATCTCATTCCCAATCAGCGACACGGAGGTGTTCTTATACGGTACTCAATCCATTGATGTATGCGGATCCCATCCCACGTGTTTCGGTGAATTAGAGCTGGAAGCTTCAGCATATAGCCATGGAACAAGTTGTTCAACAAACGAACAAAACCTGAGATCAAAGTAAAGATGGTACGGGCGATCTGACAGACGAGGAGAACACTTGTGAATGAGGATACTCCCGTCGCTCGACCAAAAACAAAGTAAACAGGCTAAGGATGTTGGTGGTAGTAAAAAAACAGGCAGCGAGCGAAAGAGCAGGAGGCAGACCTGGCAAAATGAAAGACATGGAGATGGCAGAGTTTGAAAACCGCACACTTTCGCTAGATTGTCTGTTCCCGTTTCAGAATCAGTACGGTCGCCGTTGGTCCAGCTCCACCCAGCTTAAGTCCCATCCGTTGTCCTTAATGAGATGAGCAAGCTCGATTATGTATTTGCCTTCCTTGTACTTTTGGCTTGTCTCATACGCTTGTTCGTATTTCCAGCCGAGTACTGTATGGCAACAGTCACAGTAGATATCGGCGACGGAGTGCAAACCTAATGTGATGGCAAAAAGAAAGTAGAGAGCAATGTTATCGTTTTTGTGCTATCCAGAAAATTTTGTTCAGGCAAACGCGTACACGTGAGTTGCTTTAAGGTTGTTTAATTATAGAATTCAACCAACCGATATTACCAATGTTTGGCATTCGATTTCAATATGCTCCATTCGAGGTTATTGTGATAAAAAAACTGACTGCTGGGTAGAAAGATGTTACCAAAAATCCATAGAAACGTACTCCACATGTACAAAGCAGCACATTCAGAGCCTCGATTATCGGACATTTGCATGAAGAATCGATAAAAAAAAGTACATTATTTCACCTGTAGTAGTGATGTGCCTTAATCAAGACTGAATCGAGGCTTAGAAATCCATGAAATAAACCGCACCGAGCAGTCAGATATACATCGCAATCTAAAATAGCCGTCTTTATCGTAAGGTCACATTTCCGGATCCCAGTTAACGAAACCCCGACGTTTTCGAGGCACGAGTAGCAGGGGAATTGGATGGTTAATTAGCTAACGCACAGGACAGACCTCCCCTGCCTCGTTCCCACACTTCACGTGGTTTTGCAAAAAGAAGCCTTCGAGGAATCCGGTCGACTGGCATACGGAGCACGTGGCCAAACCAGCGCAAATTGTGGATTGTGATCAGTTCACCTGTTGTAGGTGAGTTATCTTCTCCGAAAACTACTGGATGTAGTTCAGCATTACTGATTCGTTCCAACAGATTCAAGGATGCTCCGAAGACCTCGAATGTCACACATTGGAAGTCTTTTGATGTCTTCGGGGTGCGCCGGTCAGGTTTCGTATCTGTGTAATAATATGGAGCGCAGCACAGCATTGTAAACTCGACCCTCGATGGATAAGCTGATGTCACGCCTACGCCAGAGATGATGCAGGTTAACGAAAGCTGCTCTGGTATTCATAATAAGAATGGAAATACCATCTTTCGCGAGACCAACGTGACTAATACAGCTGCCAAGGTAAACAAATTTGTCTACTACCACTGCTTCAGATCCAAGAATAGCTGTCGTCTGCGTCCTCGATACTTGTGAGCGAACAGCTCAGGAGCAGTTAAACCCTACAGACACTAGAGGCTGGTAATCGGTCTTCCACAGTCTTATCAACGGCAAATTGAAGAAAAAAGGTGAAAGAGGACAGCCTTGCCTGACACCCCTTGAAGTGAACGCAGGCAAGAGCCGTAGACTTCCATACGTCCACAGCAGTTTGAGATTGAGAGATTGAAGAATTTATGGGGGAAACGTCTGCTTCATTGCCACAGTGTCTGACGGTCCACAAAGTCAAAGTCAGCTTTTAAGTCAAGGAACACAACCATTATTGGTTCAAAAATTTGTCGAAGAGTGAAAATACGATCGATGCATCCTCTTGAAAGATGAACCCGGCTTGGTTTCACGTTCTGTCTCTCAGCATTCGAAGTATACTACCAGAGGGTACCTTCGATACCATAGCTACCAGGCTGATGCCACGGTGTCTTTCACGCAGTGTCTGCGTACCCTTTTTGAAGATAGGAATAGCTGTCAACATACACCATGCTGCAGGCACTTTCTCTTCTCTCCACAAAACCACACAACCACAAAAGTAAGGTCATGCTCGTGGACGTGCAGTCACTGAACATGCCACTTACAATCCAGGGAGAGGAAGTTCTGTAGCATTTTACGTATCTTGGAAGTTATATTAGTTCTGATTGTAGTGTGACAGACGAGGTGAATGCACTAATCTGCAAGACTCGTGTCACGTTCGCTAATTTGAGACATCTACGGCGTCAGAGTGGTTAATCCCTAAACCTCAAGGGGCGCGTGCGGGCCGTTTTGTTGTATGACTGTAAGACTTGGCCTGTTCGGGTAGTGGAACCGAGACGTCCTCAGGTGTCTGACAGTCGTTGTCTCAGAACTTAGCCCGTGTGGGTTGGTGCCGGCGAATCCGTAAAGAAGCAGTTAAAAAGTGTGTTTTCGGTTTTGCAACGGGCACTTCCACTGAGAAATATGTCCAGTACCAGAAACTGCGTTGGTTGGGACATGTGTTGCGTGTGCCGAACCGTCGTTTGCCGAAGAGTGCTGTTTTCCATGCCCACTTCAAAGTGGCGTAAACAGAGAGGTGGCCAACCCTTGACTTGGCAGAGGAATATGAAGATCACGAAACGCCTGGGAGTTGTCGGTGCTACTCGCCCTCCAGGATGCGGACCGCGTGTTCCTCACTGTACCTGATCGGAGACACTACAAGATATGGCTGTCAACCGATGTCAGTGGCCTTCTTGTTGTCTGTGTCTATCCAGATCGCCTGAGTGAGTGTCTGAAGGTGTAGGCATCTCGGAATGATTGTGTTAAGCTAGCACTAAGTCACTTCCCCGTCCACTTTTACTCTTTTCTTTACAATAAGGCTTTCAAATAAATCATGGTTGTACGGCAGTGAAGCATCGGTGTTGAACACTGATGTCATGTTGTCGACGACGATGATGATATCGCACCAATGTGTTTTGTTAGATGGGTCACCAAAGATTCTCCATCTTCTTTGATAAGAGATGGATACAGATCGTCCGGTCCTGGTGTCTTCTCACGTTTCAGTACAGCTATTTCGTGCTTTATTTCTTCGTCTGACGAGCGAATAAGGTTTATATTCCATTCGCCCGTATGCACTATCTCCAGAGGCTGTGTTGCAGGAGGCCAGTTAAATTGTTCTTCGAACTTTTCGGCCCAGCTTTCTAGTCGGCGTTTTTGCGAGTGAATTAGTAAATCGCCTTTTTCACTCATCTTTTCACTGATCGTTGCTTTCCTAGGGTCAGTCGATCGTACTAGTTAATACAGGGTACGGTTGTTTCCGATAGCAAACGCCTTCCCCATTTCCCGAGTTTTCGATGTCCACCAGAGCTCCCAGTCTTTCCTTAGACTTTTCACTATTTGGCGTTTGAGGGATTTGTGCGAGCCGTCGTACTCATTGCCTGCTGGTATGGATCCCTTGGTGTCAGTCACGACTAGCGATCGTGATGGTATCCAGTGCTCATTTAGTCTATCGGAGAAGTCGGACAGACAGCACTGGTAGCACGGGTTCCTTCATACTTTGCCATACCTCATCAGGTAGTGACCAATGTAGCAAACAAGAACTCGTGAATATCATGCTGCTTTGCAGTCAGATCGCTGAAATATGATCCTACGTGCAGTGGAATCCAAGAATGTATAAGTCAGTTTTTTGTTAACCTGAAAGTTTTATCTGAAAGTTTTATCAGACGACCAGCATCCTCTTCAGCTCCCTATTTCGTTTGTGGTTATGGCCACATCCTACAAGCTCTTCAGGTACAAGCTTACACAAACTAAGCACTAGAATCCCGCAACTCTGTTTTGCCTCGCAAGAGATAATGTCGAGGTCCACATGTCAGGGGTCAGAGCGCGCGTTTGCCACGTAGCTTCATTAGTGACATAGAAAAGGTATATCATTGGGTAGAGTTTTGTCCGTATGCGGCTCCTGAACTTGACCTTTGTGGGCGGGAGATCTGGAGCAGCTTTGAGTCTTTAGCCTTCAACCACTCTATAGGTATAGTAAGCTGGCAACAAAGGGACCGCAATTAGGGGGTAAGAAGACGGATCGTTAGTAAAACAGCAGGTAGTTTACCTATAGAATGCATACAACACTATAAGCTGTGGTGTCTCAGCAGCGTTCTACGGATATTCGGTGGATGTGCAGAAAACCTAGAGGCAGAGAAATGTAGTATGTTGCGAAGATCTCTGGTCCTGTCAGAGATCCACGTGACTCATCCTGCGCTTGACTGGAGACAATGAAAGATATGACAGTGGCATTCATAACGTCATCTACAGACCGTCGAAAATAGTGATGGAAGACTGTTTTTATTTGTTTGAATGGATGTGTGCAAAATCGACCGGGAAAAATAAAAGGTTACCCTTTTAAAAAATTGTCCTTCGAGGTGGGTGGAGTTTACAGTGACGGCTCATGATAACACGCAGATGCATAGTGTTTAATTAGAACAAACTAGAGTGACGGCTTGCATTCGAGTGTCATAGAGTTTGCTTCACCTGGTATAAATTGTCCTTCTAGAGCTGTGCGCTATCTAGAAATCCAGAAAAAATTTCGGAAATGTACCTGTAAAAACAGAATAGCTCTAGACTCGACAAACGACACAGATTTCGGTCTATAACGATTAGACCAGTTTGTAGCGAGCACTAACCGATCCTCCGGCATACGTTAATCCATATATATGCAGCACATATCTTTACGTAAACAAAGTAGTGTCAATGAGGCACGTTTATGAAGGACGTGGAGATATGTGATAATACGTGATGTGCTAAAATGGCATACAGTGCACGCTTTCAGGTTGCTTACAGCTGAACAGCCAGCTAGCAGAGATGTGGAATAATGTCTCCGGTAGAAGTTGTTGCTCGGCCTAATATTTTTTATATAAAAGAGATATGATGATGGTGACACACCAAACGTATCAAAATTAGAATGTTGTGGAAAACTGTCTTCTCCCTAATGTCTGAGAATTAAATTGAACAGTTGGCATGAGCAGCTTGAAAACCGTATTGCCCCATCTCCCCAGATTTTTGCTTACCCGCTGTCTACCGACGTACTCATATCTCGTCAGTATCATTTCCAAACTCAGGTAGAGGTGTGTCACTAGCAGACAGAATGAAAACAGTTAGACACGCCAACAGTCGCAAACTGAAGAACAGTTCTGCCGCATCTGATTGTCTCTTGGTGATTCGACTAAGTCTACATTAACCAGACAGTCTCGTCACGCAGTAATCTGAAAGTTGCACCGGATGGCAGACACTGCATGGGTCGACATTGGAGACAGCCTGGTGAACAAACATCTAGTTAATATCCGTTAACGAAATTCCACCGACGGCTGGTAAATTGGTGAAATTCCGTGCCCTGTCACAAGACATGTTATGACGAGATATTTAATGACCTGAATCACATGTCGGGTGCAGACAACGAGCGCCATTGTCACGTGACCAGTGCGAAGA